CTCAGTAAGATCTTCACGCAAATACCAGGTATGAGCGGTTTTTTCTGAGTGGCACATAAGCCTCCTCAGGAGATCCTCGTCAATTTTTTCCCCTGCCCTCTTCTTTGTCTTCATGGTCGTCACTATCCATTTTTGGAAGTCGGTGGCCGTTATCGGCTTATCGGCCCTTATGCCTGAATTTACAATAAAGGCAGAGATCCTCCTCCCGATTGTGACCCTAGCATAGGGAGCCCCGTCCGACTTTAGGAAAATTGGTGAGGCTGGACTACTGTCTGTTGTCACCAACAGTCTTAATTTGTTAATAAACACCTCCAGGAGATAAAAGAGGTAAGGGTCCATTGGAATGGGCGCTGGCCCATCGACCTCTCTTTTGTGCGATGTTACCAGCATCACGCGCCTGGTCTTGTTTTCGTCTCACAGGGACGAGTGAAACATTCCGAGGGTGGCACCCTCCAGGGCACCAGGGCGTGTACCCACAGTTCTTGTCAGCATAACAACAAGAAAGTCTCTTGCCGCGGAGTACTGCTGGATGGAAAGCTGGTCAGCAGACGTAGCGCTGTCTGCCGCGATGAGGGCCACCCTGCCGTCATTTGCTGGCCCCGAGACCATGATCTCCTCTACCTCCTCTGTTGTCAATAGCTGGTCAGCCTCTTTTAGGTATTTTGCGAATGTAGCTGCCGATGTTTCTTTGGAGATATACCGGCGCCAGCCCTTAAGGTTGCAACACAGGTCGCACAATACATTTTTCGTCTCCTCAGAGACGTCTGGCAGGGTTTCACGTTTGCCCTTTCTTGTAACGAACTCAAGAAACTTCTGCAGGGAATTCAGGTAGCTCTTGAGGGTTCCAGCAGCCCTGACTGATAGATTGGGTATGACCCAATCCAGCCAAACACGGCTGCCTTCCTCCTCCTCGAGCACCTGAATATCACCTTTAGAAGGGTCCACCTCACTTAGCAGGGTCTTGACCTGGCATGCGTGCTGGAGCCGATTCCGGTCTTTATGGAATCCAGCAGCCGGGGTGTTCAGGTATTTGTAAAAACCAACCAGCCAGGTGTGACGAGGGGTTGTTGGTGCCGGCTCAAGAAAATACGCCTCCTCGTTGGCATATTCTGACTCCGGCAGCTCATCCTTGGAGTCCTCGCTGCATGTCGGGTCAGGTCCAGTTGTCGATGGCTCCATATGCTCAGGCTGGAGGAACAATATCAGGCTGGAGGAACAATATGAGGGGTTGGAGGAACAATATCCTCTGGGAAACTAGTTGTGCTTTTGAAGGCCTTAGCCGGCAGTTCATCCTCGGAAGCATCACTGCTTTTTTTATCATCCTGAGCAACTCTAAACGGACGTTTTTTCGCTGACTTCGACATTTGTACTAAGACTATTGGAGGGCGCGGCAGTGTTAATAAAGCCAGCTCTGCCTCTTCACCCCTGTAGGGCCTGGCCTCCTTAAGGGCTACCTTATACCTCTCACTTCCAGGGGTCATCTTATGCACTGCCCTCAGATGCTGGGGGAGGTACGGTCCCAGGAACCCACAGAATGGCTCTGGGCACCAGCGTTTTCTGCGGCCTTTCACTAATGTTCCCTTCTTACTCTTTCGGGGAGGCCCCCTCAACTTTGTTTTTGACACGCCCATGTTAAATAGTCTTTCGACGTCTTTGTCAAAAATCTCTTTCTTTTTTAGATGCACGTCCATTAGATGGCGTTTAAGGTTTGGGCCCTTGTACCCCCTACATGAAGGCACCTTGCAACTTCTGGTGACGTGCGTACTCCTTTTCCCTCCCCTAACCACCTGGGGTTTTTTTCTTTCAACGACTTCTTCCTGGCCCTCGCACAACACAGCACTCTCCTTGTCAGCCTCAACCTCCCCGCTAACAACCTCTTCACCAAGGCTCTTTCTTTCACCTCTAACCCCCTTAACCCCAGCGCCACCCTTGCCATTACTTGAGTCGTCATCCGAACTTTCACTTGCGCTGCTTCCGTGCCTCCACTCCTCGTTACTAGTGTCTTCTTCTTCGCTGGGCACCCTCGTTTCACTGCTCTCAACTCTCTTTTTAACTTTCTCCTCGTGTCTCTGCTTAGCCTCCCTTAACATTTCGACCGTGTCAATAATATCTTGGAGGATCTCAGCTGAGCCAGCTGTAACCGCGCTTCCCTGCAAATTTCTGTTAGGGACAAAGGACTTGCCCATCAGACACTCATGGACATAAAGCATGTAAGAAAGCGCCTTAAATGTACATTTTTCAATATGTTGCAGCTGCAGGTGCTGTATGGACGCACAAAATAAAACATTTCGACCAGGTCGCTCTCCAGGTCTTCCAGGCTGGTTAGTGGATTGAAGACTTGCGGTCCTTGGAAATCGCATCCGTCATGCATACGCAGGCGTCTTAGTGCCACTGGGTCGCCTGCTTCCGCTTCTCCCAGGAGGGCCACTATACTGTTGAGCTCGACATCGAGCGGTAACGGTCAAGTATCCATTTTTGTCTGGACATGGAACAATCACACCTTTACTTCAACATGAATGTAGGTTCCTCAAGCTCTAAGGACATGGTCCTTGAACTACATAAGCGCATGCAGAAGCATAAAATAACGTCTAAACATGAATTTAAGGACCTCCAAATCTACCGAGGAGGTCCTTCAACAATATAACAGCATCAACAAGCATGGAATATTATCACAACATGAATAAAAAGGTCCTCAAGCTGTACTAAGGAGGTCCTTAAACAACAACGTTCAGACTAGAAGGCGTTACTTTAACTGCCAGTAACTCGTTTGAAATGAAAGTTCAACCCCAAAAATTTTCATTGTGAAAGAGATATATTTATGCAAATTAGCTTGCATGCAAGAGCATGTATGTACTGACAGTTATTATAGTGAAGTGAATTATAAAGTTAGACAAAAAGACCTTGGCTAACTCTACCATCCCAGTAAATTTGAAAGTGTGAAGTCAAATATTCAATGAGCTATAGGCAGTTAAAGTTTGGCCTCGCCTTGGCGTTAAAACCCAGAAATCCCCGGGTTCGAGCAATCTACGTCCACCATTTTGTATAAAACTTTAGCCACTCATAACTTCGCGATTTTTCTCTCAATTCGATCCAAACTTAATTGGCTAGTAGACTATGTTAAGGCCTATCTATAGATATAAGTCACGGCGCAAGTGGGGGGAGATTCGCTAAGTTATGAAGGTGTAAAGTTTCAATACAAATGACGTCATAAGTCATTAAATGAGGAACAAATTTGTACAAAACTAACACCAAATTGTTCCATACAACATGAACAAGGATAATATAACATCATAACATCAAAAAAAGCCCTCAAGCTCTAATGAGGAGGTCCAACAACATCATTCATCAAACAAATTGCTCAAAACTGCACCCTTAAACTATGAGCAAAGCCTGCGCAGAAGCAACCGCTTTTATAAGAAGAAAAATGTTTAAGAAAGGTGCTCTAGCCCCTTATAAACTTCTTCCTATAGTTGGATTGCCTCTACTCAGTGTTTCAAGGGTGCCCAACAGCAAAAGTAACAGAGATCAAAGTGTGTGTACTTACAGTTACTGAAGCTCGACTGTAATGGCGTTAGCTAGGTGCGCAATGCATGATTGAACATTTGTTCTAAAACTGCTCAGACTTAAACATGGACTAGAATAGTGACGTTTTAATGAAATAACTTGAAACTTACAGAGATAAGAGAGTAGTCATTGCTCTCTCATGCAGTATAATTAATTGGTCAGATGAAGTTGATTGACAGCTGCCATTTTGAATTAACTGAAATCACTTATATTGGAGTTTTTATCTAGAAATTCCAAAAAAACACCGGATGGAAAGTGGAAGTAGGAAAGATCTAGCACTTAGGGAAAAAATTCCAAAAAATTAGGGAGTTTAAAATTTTTTACAATTTTTTCTATACCAAACCTCAGTCTTTACCAAAAATGTAAAAACGAGAGGTACACTCAAATAAACCGCCATAACTTTGTAGTTGTAATGTATTAGTCAGCCACATTTAATACACATCTAGACTAGACATTACAACAGTACGTGTAGAAATATGGTTATATATCGTTAAGAATCGAGAGAGATAGGACGTGCGAAAAAAGTGAAAAAATTTCAAAAAATTAATTGCTTATTTTCTTCAATAAC